TGCCTGCCGGGACTGGGAGCACCGCCGCGTGTGCAGTGGCTACTGGGAGTTGTAGTCCCCACCGCCGTGGGCTGCCCGCAGGGTGTAACACAGTCCCGTGCCCGATGACGCGGGGGCTGATGGGAGTTGCAGTCCATGACGCCGCGGCGCGGTGGCCAATGGGGCCTGTAGTTCTGCCGGGGGCGGGCGCAGTTCCCGGCGGGCGGCGCTCAGTCACACGCCAGCGGACTGAGGGAGGGAGGCGGGAGCATGGCTGGCAGGTCCCTGCGGGCGGCCCGGCATCACCTTAGCCCGCTGCTCTCGTTGGGCGCTCAGCGGCCCAGCAGGTAAGGCGGGGGGAGCTGGCTACCCATCCCCATCATCCAGGGGCCCCGATCGCTCCCCTGCCCTCTCTGTGCCCCTCACCGTGGTGCCCGGGCTGTCCGCGCTGTGCAGCGAGGTGGGCATGGGGGGCTTTGGCGCTGAGCCACCGCGGGCTAGCAAAGGAGCCCGAGCGGCTGCACTCTCGGGTGAGCTGTGTGCCACCTGCTAAGTACTGCCCGGCTGCTGCTCCGGTGCCCTGCCCAGGCAGACAGGGCTGCTGGGGCGTGGGGGGCCCTGCCCGGGTCTGGTACCCTGCCCGGGTCTGGTACCCTGCCCAGGCAGACAGGGCGGGCCGCCCCAGACGGCGGGGCGGGGGTCTGTCCGTTGCAAGCTGCGCTACTGGGGGGGAGGTGTCGGGAGCGCAGCCAGCCTAAAATCTTAAAAGGCGGCCCCTGGTCCGAGCTCCTCCGTGTTGGGCGGCCACCTGGAGGGGCCTTGGGCCTGGTTTTCAGACCCGGCCGCTCCCGTGGCTCACCTGGGGCTGTGCGCCTCGGACCCGCGGGGGAGCAGGGCGAGCAGCCCTCCAGCCGCTCCCCGAGCCAGGGCGGCTGTTGAGTGCTGGCCTGGCCCGCAAAGGGGCCCTCCCAGCAAGGAGCCCACCATCCCTGACTTGACTTTCACTTGTGTTTTCAGCTTGGTCTTCCTGTTCCTAAATCAGATGTAAATGGACTTTATTTCATGTAATCTCTAGCCCTAAAAGGAAGAACAATTGCTGTGTGCTCATACTGAGAGTGAGAAACAGGTGTTAATCACTTCTGGGGAGCAAGGGCTAGTAATTCAGTCTGTGTATTTCAGGAAAGGTCCAACCCTAGAAATTGTTTGAGGCGTGTTCACTGCAGTCATTTTTAAGGCTTTCAATGAGAATGTGGGTGGCCCCTGTTTGTTTTTGAGGCCAGAAATAAGTGTAACTGCAGCTGGTCCATGACTGGGTCACATAGAGACTGCAATAACACAAATAAATAATAATATTGGGGCATAGGAGTGCGGAAGTTGATATAT